AATCCCAGGGAGTGGTGGTAGAAAGCAGAAAGATATATAAGGCGTGAGGACCAGAAACTAGAGGATTTTGGCTGGTTAAGCATTCAGGCTTTTGAGCAGTAATTCAGCTGAGACCCATTCTGGATGAGGACTCAGAAGCCTCCAGTCTGAGGAGACAAGACCAGCTGAGGATCCGGCGAGGTGAGATAGCTGTGACTTGTTTTGTCTCTCTTATCTACCAGCATGGACCCCAATAACTCGCCTCAGGTTTGATTTTATTAATAAGAACTTTTAAGATTCCTGCTACAGAGTAGGCAAAGGAATTCCAGATTGTAGAGAGCCCATTGGCTGAATTACTTTGTTAATTGCTCTAAGGTCTGTTACCATTCTCCATTTACCAGATTTCTTTTTAATAACAAATACAGGAGAATTCCAAGGGCTGGTTGATTCTTCAATATGCTGGGCATTTAACTGTTCTTCTACCAGCTCTTCTAAAGCCTGGAGTTTCTCTGTTGTTAAAGGCCATTGCTAAATCCATACAGGCTTGTCTGTTGACCATTTTAAAGGTAGAGCTGTTGGTGTTTTTGGAAGATTATCAGTTGTTGTGCCCTGTTCTTGTATGACATGGATGGCTGATGAGCACTCATTAGAATAATATCTTCTAATATTTCTCTCAGAAATATGTACTAGTTTATGATTTGTTTCTGAAATTGGAGGGATGTTAATCTGAATATTCCATTGTTGTAACAAGTCTCAACCCCACAGGTTCATAACTATGTTAGCCATATATGGTTTTAATTTTCCTTTCTGTCCTTCTGGACCTATACATTCGAGCCATCTTGCACTCTGTTTTACTCGAGATAATGTCCCAATTCCTAAGAGTTGAACGTTTACCTCCTGATGAGGCCAAGTTGGATGCCAAAATTCTGGTGCAATTATGGTAATGTCTGCACCTGTGTCTACCAGACCAGACAACGAAACACCATTTATTTTTATTGTTAGTCTTGGTCTTTGTTCATTAATAGAAGTTTGCCAAAAACTTTTCTTTATATTTTTTCCTGAATTTTCTGTAACCTTATGATCCAATTTTGAAACAACTTCACTGTTAATTTCTTCTGTCTGAATTTGAATTTCTCTATAATTCATTTTTACAGGTTTAACAAGTTTTTCTAAGACTGTTATCCTGGCACTTAAATTGACTATCATTTTAAATAGTAAAATGAGGATAAGAAAACTAATAAATTGAATAATTTGATCAATATTAATCTTCTCATATAGTTGTTCCATTGTCAGAGTGCCTAAAATTTCAAACAAAGCCCAATTTTCTTCCAATGCACACATAAAGCCCCTTTTTTTAATGTAGAAAAAAATTCTTTTTTAAATGGATATGTTAATTGACTTACCAAGTCTGCATAGAACAGTAGAAATCTGAGGGAATTTCAAAACAGCCACCTGGTGTTCGAGGTATGAATCCAGAGAGAGAAAGAAAGCGTAGCTGCTTGAGCCGAATCAAGCCTTGGCTTTACAGGCAGGGGCCCTGTTTGGTAGGGCAGGCCTGAGTTGTTTGTAGCAGTTGCAAGTAGCTCCAGCTGCGGGTCAGTCAGACCTGGGCCCGAGTTAGGGAGCCAGGCCGCCCAGGCCGGAAACCGGACCTGCCACCAAGCCAAGCCAAGCCAAGCGGTTTTTAATGGATTCTTGTCACTTTGGGCACCAAATGTAGATGTAACCAACAGTCTTATTAAATAAGAAACACAGAACCAATGCAAAGAAGAAAGCCAAGAGGTCAGAGCTAAGAGCTAAAACCTTACCCTTCCTTCTGCGGTGGTCCTACCTCTCCGAACCAGAGCTACTTCCTGTGTGTCTGTCTTTTTATAGTGTTTCTGTTCTGCCTTCTCATTGGTTGTAAACCCAACCATATGACTGCCTCATCATGGCCTGTCTGTATAGATCTCCAGGTTTTCTGTGGTTGGTATTGAGATTAAAGGGATGTGTATCCAATACTGGCTGTATCCCTGAACACACAGAGACTTACCTAGCTCTGCCTACCAAGTGCTGGGATTACAAGCCTACACCACCACTGCCCTACTTTCCTATGGCTTGCTAATAGCTCTGACCCCGGGGCAACTTTATTTATTAACATACAAATAACATTTTAATACAAATAAAATATCACCATAATTTTGTACCAAGGAAGGTGATCTACTGGCTTTCCTCAATATAAAAGAAATATGTATAGATCATTGTTAGAATTATTATTGATAAAACCATTGTCTTTTTTCTCAAAAACAGCTTGAAGTAGTAATTAAAATGAAACCAGATTAAAAATAGCATTTGAAAAAGGCATGGTGTCACAAATCCTAGCATCATAACACTTAGGAGATTAACAGAGGAGAACCATGAGCACAAGAAGCTAGCCTGGGATACATAGTGAAATTCTGTTTCAAAAGGCAAAAACCAACTGTAACAATCCACACCACCCCCCCCCCCGCCACCAAAAAAAGCCCAAAAGTAGTTGTGCTTCCGAGTCATGAGAACATCATCATTGTCATCATTATCATCTTCATCATCATTTTGGAACTCACTATCCAGACCAGAATGGCCTTGAACTCATGGAGACCTGCCTGTCTCTGCCTCCCACGTCCTGGGACTAAAGGTATGCACCACCACATCAGGCCTGAGAATATTATCATAATTGAGAATGAAATTTCCTACTGAGCTCTCTACAGTTAAATAAGACTCTCATTTTATAATAAGAGCAAGCAAAGTTCTTTCAAAGCCTGTTCATTTAAGTGAGAGCCCATTTTCTGAAATGCCGATATTGGTGTCCTAGGATCTGGTACCACACATAAAAGGGAATTAAGTTTCTCTGCAATTGCATGAAATGTCTGCTGCATCTCAAAATTCTCAACATTGTGTCCCTTGAACTCTACATCCTTAAATGCTAATGTCTGCCATAAAAGGCAGCTTCAAAAGAGTAGAAGTTATAAACAATAAAGGGGATTTCCCTGATGGAGGACCTGTACTCCTCCTCCTCCTCCTCCTCCTCCTCCTCCTTCTCCTCCCCCTCTTCCTCCTCCTCCGCTTCTTCTTCTTCTTTGTGTCACATTCCCGGACAGGTAGTCATGCAGTCTTGTTGTTGGGTCATGAAATGTCTGGAAAAGAGATCTTTCTTTGTAATGCAGAGAGAAAGAAAATATAGGCGAGGAAGTTTAGCTTATTTGCAAGCAACAATACAGAAAGTTTTTGCTATTGTGGTCTTTGTTGTGGGTTGTTGAAATAAAGATACAGAATCAAGAAACTTTTTAAACAGGAACAATCACATGGCCCCAAAATGCCAGTATGCATGTTTTGACAAAAGCAAAAATCTGTGGCAATAGGAAATGTTTGCCATGGATTTGGGAGTGAATATATGTGCTCACTCTGGGTAGGGGGATTTCACGGAAAAGGGGGAGCCCACGTGGAAGTCAGTGGGTTGAGGAAGAAATGGCCAGTCATTTATTGTCGGCATTTATGATTATGTGCTCAAGGAATTTATTAATTTCAATTCATCACTGATTTTGTTTTGACAGAACAAGATCACACCACTTTTGCTTGCTCTGAAACAAAACAAGGAGAAGATGGCAGAATTCTTAATTAACAAGGGAGCCAACACAAAAACATGTGACTTTCTGGGAAGGTAAAAAAGTCTTTGTACCTTAGCCAGGCGGTGGCACCCACCTTTAATCCCAGCACTTGGGAGGCAGAGGCAGGCGGATCTCTGTGAGTTTGAGGCTAACCTGGTGTGCAGAATGAGATCTGGGATCCACACCAAAACTACACAGAGAAACCCTGTCTTGAAAACAAAATCAAAACAAAAACAAAAGTCCTTGTACTTCAATAAAGTTAGTGAGTTTGGTGCTGTAACTATCACCCAAGCCACAGTGTTAAACACATAGGAAGAAGAATGTAACCTTTACTTACTGAGATAACTTTAACCTAGACCATCAGTTTGGTACAAAAGAAAGTGTTCAGTGTGAACAACAAAAAGACAATATACAATAGGGTCTATATCTCCTGATAATACAAAATAATGTTGATTGATTGTATTGCAACTTATTCATTTGGGCAACTTATTTAGCTAACTAGGTCTCATATTTAATTTGTTTTTAAGGTGTTAATTTTAATTTTTAATAACAGTGTGACTCTTAATGTCTTAATAGTATTTGTAACCCATGCTCCTCATATACTGTTTCCTTAAAAATGGCAATCTGTTGGATGGCTCTTTGCATTAAATTTCTTTGCAAAATATTGTATGGTTATCTCTCAGTAACTGTTAATTCCTATTACCACATGGTACTCTACTTTTTCCCCTTTGAATTTATTTTGAAATTTTATTATTTGGCATGGTCAAAAGAACAAAAAACTTTTATTGAATAAGTTTGGATGAGTAAAAATCACAGTTGGGTGACAAGAAAAAAAAAATCTCAATATTCCAGCCTCCACACTTCCTGAATGTACAACCTCAGGAATGTTGCACATTGCTAGATTTACTTCCTGATTCAAAAAGCAGGGTTATGCTGGGACATAGTATGTATTATGTATTATGTAGTTCTAGCACCTGGTCATCTGCTACAAACGTCATTGCTACCATTATTATTAGAATCACTTATTTTATAATTATACTATTATTATGTTAATCATGCAAATAAGCTTTTCCCCTTTGCTCTTTAGTTTATGAATTACAATATATTATGTCAGACTAAAAAAGAGACAAAAAATTCTCTACTTAAATATTCACCTACTTTGAGAAATAGCCTCAGTATTTGTGAAAGAGAGGACATGGGGTTCTAAATTCTACTGTTCTACCTTAGTGGGAAAACAGGCTTTCTGTTTATTTTTTCTTGATTTGTCTGAGGGATAATTTACAGGATGAACATTTGAGCTCCCAAGATGTTTATGTCTGTTAGCAGATGGTCAGTTCTACATATACAAGCAATATTTCAAACTGGTAAAACATATTCAATGAGGTGTTTAACAACTTTATTAAATTACGTAACAGCCGGACTCTACCTCTGCTCTTTTAGAAGCACCCTTATGTATGCTGTAAGGTGTGGGTCAGAACTTATCATCAAACTTCTTCTTCAAAGAGGTATCGATACCTTTAAGCAAGATGCCTTTGGATGGACAGCTAAACGTTATGCTGTTGAAAGCAAAAGCAAAGTGTAAGTGTTCACATTTACTTGCTAACATTAAATGGAGATACAAAGTAATTACTAATACCACATCTTATATATTTAGTTTAGGTTGTCTTGTAATGGCAGTGACATAATCCACCCTATCATCCAGAAACTAATCAAAGCTCTACATGAATTAGAAGTAGCAATGGACACAGGATTCTTTGTCTCTGAATTTTTGTTTTGGTGGGGGTGGATGCTGGCAATTGAACCCAGGACTTCACATGATTTAGGCAAGTATTTTATTGAAGGACTATATTACTATTCTTAGGTTAGGACTTTTCAACCTCTATAGGTGAAGAAACTTTGTAAAACCCTACCTAGTTTTGAGAATGCATAATGATACCCACCAAAAGAAACCCAGAGTTGAGCCTTGTGGAGTTATGGGCAACATCATCTGAAGGAAATACATACATACTCAGCAAAAGGACTTCTACTCCCAGAATTCCATGGACACCGGCTCCCAGTGCATGTTAATCCTTTCTGCCAGGGCCATGTGATCTCTGGAGGTTGAGTGTTACCATTTTCCATTTTCTAGCTGCTGCTATTGCCTTTGCCACATAGTGTGCCCCGCCTTTTACTTCCAGAGAGATAGGACCAGTGGAACATTTGGAGTCCCTGGATACCCTAAGGAGGCTGGGATATGCCAGGGGTCTGGGAAATATGGACCACTTGTTGATACCAAGAAACCTGAGTGAAGGACATTTGGAGACCTGGTAGACCCTGGGGCACTTGAAGACCTGAGTGAATTGGGAATTGGAATTTGAGGGACCTGAAAGTATTTTGGGGATCTGAGGTCACTGGAAGTCTTTGTGAGTCTGGGGGCATTGGATGATCTGGTTATATGGGGGACTGAAAGGCCAGGAGTCATTTAGACCAGGGGCACCAAGACATTGGGTGCCATTGGGTATGGTGGGATATGAGAGGACATGGACATATTGTTGAATTGAAAATTGCAAAAAAATCACTTGACATCTGTATATTGATATCAAGTCCATACTAGTATTTTACTAGCTCCAGAATTTTTAGACTTTTATCTTCACTATCTAGGCATTTTGCATCTTTAGTCCAAATATAATCTATACATTTGAGGTATGAATAATTTCACATTGTTGTTAACTAGCTGTTTAGATTTTAAAATGTTAAATGGATGATTTTCTTTGAACTATGTGATGAAGAATAGAATAGGTAAAAACAAAAATAGGCCTTAATATTTTTGGTAACGCCAATATAAGAATATCAGATCTTTCAAGAAAATACACGTTGAAGATTGTTTGGGAGTCTAAGACAGTTCAGCCTAAAGAGACAAATGATCTTGTTGCTTTTCTATTTGTCATGCATACTTTACATTACCTTATTTAGTCATATCAGCCTGGTATACAAAAACAGTTAAAGTCATTATTTTTTAGAGGAAGACATTAAGCCTAATAGAAATAACATGTCCAAGAACAAGCAGCTATTGGCTACAAATATAAGATTTCTTCTGTGTTCAAGATGCTTTCCATCATGCTGAGAAAACTTAGTTCATGTATGGAGTTGGATTGCTTTTGATTCATGACCCTCCTGCTTCATTTTTTTCTTGTTCAGTTATAAGCTTGATAAAATACAGAATCCACATGTTTGTAGCATATGTTTAAAGGTTCTGATAGTATCATGGATAATGCCTGAAATACTTCTCTAAGTGTAATGTGACAGGTAAGTGTTTTCATATCAACATCGAACTAGTGAATTGATTTACCATTCTTTTGGTCCATGACAGTAGGACACTACTTATCGACTATGATGAAGAGGAACTGAGACAAACATGTTTAGGTAAGAGTTCTGATAGTGAATTACTGGGAAAATTGAAACTAAATGTAAATGGAATTGGTATTTTTCTTAACTTGTTTTCTACGGGCTTGGAGATCAGAATCCTTTAAAAAAACTTACATGAAAATTTTAATCCAAAATAATCTTTTTATTTAATTTCCTTGAAATTTATATATCATTATATAGAAAGAAAAAATATTTTAAAATTGCCTGATTGTTGCATTAAAATTGGATTTGTTTAAAAAATGGATTTTTTTCTGAAATATTGGAATGAGCGTACTGAATTTAGTAAGCGAATATTATTATATATGATGTAACGTTCTATAATTAGCATTGAGATTTATTCACCTGGGCTCATAGTCAGCTCTTCTTCATGGAGATCATATTTTTTCTATTAACCGTGTTGTTCACCCTGATATATGCATGATTTCTGTATTCCTTATGTCCATTGGGAACAAAATCATACTTCCTAAATCATAACCATGTACTTTATTTACTGTGTGTTCCTCACACATGGCGTAAAAAAGCAGGAAGGCATGCTAATGGGAGGAGGGAGAGGATTAGCATGAGGAGGACTGAGAGGAATGGGGAAGGGTAATGTGAAGGGAAAAACAAGAGGACTGTATCATGAAATGTCAAGACTAAATGTATTACTTTGTATATTACCTTTAAAACTGATAAAGTGCATATTCATATTTTCTATTAACATGTTTCTGTTCTATCACTGTCTTTACTTATAATTAGCTTCAGAGCTAAGTTCCAGCAGCCCCAAAGAGCTATACTTAGCCACCCAGCCCAATGGGAATATTAAGATTTCCAGTAAGTGTGAAAATCAGAAAAATATTCAGTCAATGCACTTATTGGGAAGAGGAACACATAAAGGAATACCAAGCTCACCTTCAGGGTCCTAGTACAGATTTAGGTACAAGTAATGTCAGAATTGAGGCAAGCTGAAGAGGGTGTATAATTCAGAAGTCATGGTTAAGGTGTGTCTGAAGGACCCTGTGCCAGTTCTGATCTGTAAAGTGATCTGAAAAGAGTTGTGTTGGCAATGGAGTACTACTCAGCAGAGAAAAACAATGAAAGCATGAAATTTGCAGGCAAATGGATGGAACTAGAAAAAATCATCCCAAGTGAGGTAACCCAAACCCAGAAAGACAGTCATGGTATGTACTCACTCATAAGTGGATTCTAGATATAAAATAAAGAACAATCAGACCACAGCCCATAGAACCATAGAGGCTATATATATAGTATGGAGGTCCCTAGGACGACTGTGGCTTATAATAAATTTCGGTTCTACTCAATTATTGAAAAAAAAATAGCCAAATGAATGGAAACACATGAACTATGAACCAAAGGCGGAGGGGCCCCCAGCTGGATCAGGCCCTCTGAATAGGTGTGACAGTTGATTGGCTTGATCAGTTTGGGAGGCAACTAGGCAGTGGGACCAAGTCCTGTGCTCATTGCATGAGTTGGCTGTTTGAAAACTGGAGCTTATGCAGGGGCACTTGGCTCAGGCTGGGAGTCAGGGACTGGACCTGCCTGGACTGAGTCTACCAGGTTGATCTCAGTCCTCGGGGGAGGCTTTGCCCTGGAGGAGGTGGGAATGGGGGGTAGGCTGGGAGTAAGGGGAGGGGGTGGGAGGGGGGAGAATAGGGGAACCCGTGGCTGATATGTAGAACTGAATGGTGTTGTAAAATAAAATATAAATAAATAAATAAATAAATAAATAAATAAATAAATAAATAAATAAAGAGTTGTGTTGGTTGAGGGGACAAGCTGCTTCTCAGGACATGATTGCTCATGCTCCTTGGACAGCCTTGCCATCATGGATTACTACCTTTCTCAGGGAATAGGTTAATCATGCAAGGCTCTTTTGTCCCCAGGGAAAAGGTTTCACAGGATAAGTAGGAGTCTGTAGGTACCATTTGAGAAACTTGAATGGGAGACTGTAAAAGTTGATGGTAAGTTGTCTCAGTTACTCTTTGTGAGTTCAACCCTGAAGAGGAATGATATAGGTTAGGCATCACTATGATTTAGGAGGACAGTTCTTTAGTGTTTAATATGCCTGTGTGCCAAAGTTGGTAGGTTACACAAGACACAGGAGAAAGATTTCAAATGGAGAGATGTCGAGGATTTTTCACATTTTCATTTGCATTGCAGGACTAAGTGAGGTATTAGTGCTTTTTAGCACAGTTTCTAAGCACCTATTGTTTCCTGATGAGTTACCGAAATTAAAATACTTGATTAGAACCACAGACACGAGAATCCTGCTCATTTCTGTGTCTTTGTGAATGCTGATCCCCTTTGCTGTCTACATGGATTGATTGCATCTTCTTTTGCTTTGTAGATATAATGAAGAAAGACGCTTGCTCAATGGTAATGACTTTTTATAATTTTCTTGAATTACTAAGCAGACACTGTATGAAATGTTCATCACTTAACAATTACCCTCTTTCAAAGCCCTTCCAGCCTACCTCGGAAGTGAAACATTCTCTTCAAAGTGAAGAAGTGGAAAAGACAGAGGCAAAACCATCAAAGTCAGGTAAAATTTCCAGTTTAAGTTATTTGAAAAGAAGTAGGTGAAATATTAATGCTCCCAGGCTTCCCATTCTTAATGCTACCCATTTGCAAAGAGATGGTGTACATTGTCATAGCCAATGAAATGGTTGTTTCAGGCATCAATATTTCAGAGAAAGGTCTTCATTAGTACATGTAAGACATGCTGACAAATAGAAGTTTTGACTTAAATTTTACTCTTTCACGTTTTAATACTTTACATTTACCAGTTTGGAATCTCATAGACATTTAAAGAGGTTAATCATAAGACTTTTTAGGTTTTCCCAAAGTTTAAAACTGCCTGCAGTGTGGAACAAATGAGAACAAAGCCTAATGACAATTATGTATGACTATCCCAGCAAGAAGCATTACCTTTCATGATAACCTGAAAAAAAATAAAATAAAATAAAATAGGAAAGAAAGACAAATGCTGGAGGTTCAAGTGCTGTGATACAGCCTGTGGTCCCAAATTTTGGGAAGTCAGGCAAAAGATTCCCCCAACATAGAAGTTGTGGGTTAACCTTGATATATAGCAAGAGACCCTCTATTATAAACAACAGAAAAATCTATTTTAATTCTACCAGGATACCAGGTCTTCTGATTCCCAGTTATTTACTAGCTAATTTAGTGATCTCATCAGCTATGTATCTGATCATAAAACATAGCATTATATAATTGGTTTTAATGATTAAAATCAAACCAATACACTTCATATTGTCATGTTTATTTTCCTTTTTTCGTTAATCATTTTTTAATGATTTAAAATTTTTAACCATTTCATGTAATTTTGATGATGCCCACCTCATTATACTTGCATCCTTCTCTGCCTCATCCTGCCTCCCATCATCTGACTATGCAAACTACTCTTTTTTTTTTTTTTTTTTTTTTTTTTGGTTTTTTGAGACAGGGTTTCTCTGTGTAGCTTTGCGCCTTTCCTGGGACTCACTTGGTAGCCCAGGCTGGTCTTGAACTCACAGAAATCCGCCTGGCTCTGCCTCCCGAGTGCTGGGATTAAAGGCGTGCGCCACCACCGCCCGGCGCAAACTACTCTTTTTATTTTATTTTTTTCTGAGCCCATGTTAAATTCAGTCCCATTTGCATGTTAAGTATTGTCTGAGGATTTTTATTGCTGTGAAGAGACACTATGACTACTGCAACTCTTATAGAGAAAACATATAATTGGGGTGGCTCACTTACAGTTTCAGAGGTTCAGTATCATCATAACCAGGAGCATGACAGCATGCAGGCAGGCATGGTGTCTGGCTATGTCTTGACGAGAGGGCAGCAGGAAGTTGACTAACTGTCATACTGTCTGAAGCTTGAGAAAAGAGATCTCAAAGCCCACTCCCCAGAGTTACACACTTCCTCCAACAAGACCACACCTACTCCAACAAGGCCACACCTCCTAATAGTGCCACTCCCTTTGGGGGCTATTTTTTTTTTCAAACTACCACAAGTATACAATCTATACCTGGCTACCCTTCAGCTGTTCTTAGTTCTTGATGAGTTCAGTGAAAATTAGAAGTAGAACACTTAATGAAAAGTCTGGGAATGCATTCCTTCAACATTGTGGAGTAAAATGCAACCCACAACAAAATCAGCAATGAAAATGGTTTGCACATGTTCCCTCATACCTCATCTTAGTTTTTAAAAATTGCATATTGTTCATTTGTGTGTGTGTGTGTGCACATGCTCGCAGGGGATCATGCATACAGCGGCACATGTGTGGAGATCAGAGGACAATGGATAGGAATAAGCTATCTCCTTCTGGTATGTTAGTTCCTGGGATGCAACTCAGGATATCAGACTTCACAGGAAGCACCTTGACGGCTGAGCTGGCTTATGTGAGCTGCACAAGTATTTAATATTAATGACCAGATTTGAATTCTTCAGGAAACCACATTTGTTCACTTTAAAAAATGTTAATAAAGTCACTCTGCATTGGAAATAGACATTTGTATCAAATGCTTCATGAAGCTTTACTTCAATTTTGGTCAGCTTCATCCTCATTTTGTTATTCTGTTTTCTATTAACTCTCCTGGCTCTAATTATTCCTATGAACTTCGCATCCATCATCACCACATTTAGAGTGATAAATCACCATTGAAAATGTGAAGGAAAAGCATGCTTTGGAACATTAACAGCCTAGATTCCAAGCTTTCATCATTCAGTGTAAGGCTGATTATGCCCACATCTGCATCCTTGACCTTCTCTTCTGGACCACTTCTCTGGCATTACTGGCATGCTGATAATGACATCTTTAACCACCTCCATGTTATTGGCTGACACATGAGTCACATAGGACTGCCCCTCTGTTACTACTCCCTTTCATGCTTTTACCCCTTACTAAAATATATCTGCCCACACTCTCATGTTGACTGTTAAGTAAGGCAGAACTTCTAAGTGGCACCCGTTAAGTGCAAGCGAGGAGATGGTGCATCTGTAAACAGAGACAAAGTCGAATGACATGTATGTGTGGAGATGCCATGAGGGAAACCACACTTAGTATTCAAATTTAGGAATTCAAGTCTTACTTTCTGTCAGTGTGTTTCTTGTCCCGTTGCTGCCCTTACTTGTAACTAGTTTCAGGGCAAAACCTCCAGTCGCCCCAAAGACCCACGCATAGCTATCCATTCCAATAGGAATAGTAATGTTCCCAGTAAGTGTGAAAATCGGACAGTGGGAGCCATGTGACTTCTTTGAGGAACAAGGCCTGAGAATAGCATGAACGGCTCTCCTTGTGGCAAAGCCCTGGAGACCCTGACCCATTTGGCAAAGCCTGTGGCGAGTTCGCTGCCTGATTCTGGGCTTGACCCCAGGAGCGAATGTGCTACCTGCCCTTCTTGCTGTCACCAAGCTAGGCCTGCTGCTGGCCTGAACGAGTCACAGTAGGTCGTGCAGTTTAATATTACATATGTGCATAACCGTTCTGGAAAGAATGATTTTAACCACAAGAGTCTTTGAGAAATGTGATTCAATAGATGACATCATGACAACAGTCTAGAAGCAGGGAATGAAGCAGAGTCATAGAAACCCACAGTGCCTGAATCCTAACAACTGTTCCAGTACTCCAAGAACTTAAGGGAGAAGGACATGTAATCAGTGCTAGAAACTTAGGGGGTAAAAACTGATTGTAAAACTCTTCATGCAAACCATTGAAACTGTATAAATAAAAACAGCCCAGGCTATCGGGGCCACTTGTTTGAAGGACAGGGGGTCACAATTTCTTCATGGCCCCGACGTCACACATTCATCCCAGGTCATCAAATCCATCTGGAGCAAGGCTTCCAGAAATCATAGAAATATAAATGTACACATTGGAAAGAGGACCACATAAAGGAATCTAGAGGTCTATGGCTTATCTTCAGGGTCCTGGGACAGATTTAAGTACAGATAATCTCAGGCAGGCTGAAAAGGTTGTATAACTCAGGAGTCATGGTCTAGATGGACACTGTGCCAGTTCTGATTCTGTAAGATGATCTGAAGAGAATCCTTGTTGGTTGAGAGCACATGACACTTCTCAGGAGATGATGGCTTGTGTTCCAGAGACAGCCCTGACATCATGGATAACTGCTGTGCTGCCTGGATTTTTGTCAGCTGGACACACACTCTAGAATGTCATGTGAAGAATGATGTCAGTTGAGGAATGGTCTCCATCCGACTGCCCTTAGCTAGGTCTTCAAGGGCGTTTTCTTGATTGCTGATTGACTTGGGAGGGCCCAGCTCACTGTGAGTGGCACCACTCTTGGGCAGGTGGTCCTGAGTTGTTTAAGAAAGCGGCTGAGCAAACCACAAGGAAAGCAGTAAGCAGTGTTCCTGCATGACCTCTGCTTCAGCTCCTGCTGTCAGGTTCCTGTCCTCAGTTCCTGGATCAGCTTCCCCTGATGATGGGCTGTCATGGTAAAGTTGGTGGTCACAGCAGGAGAACTTCACTAGAACAATTTCCTTCACCCAGGAAAAGGTTTACCCTGCAGGGCTCTCTTGTTTCTGGGACAGGCCTTGCAGATTCCATTTGGGAACCTGGACAGGAAACTAAAAGCTGACAATCATTATCTGAGTTGATTTTTGTGGCTTCAGCCCTGAAGAGGTACCACACAGGCTAGATGTCACTTGTTTCTAAACAGACACTCTGCGTTTGATGTGCCTCTGTGTAGAGGTTAGTGGGTGGCCCAAAGCACAGGAGACAGATTCCAAGGTGAGGGATACCAAGATTTGATCCTGTTATTAATGACGTTGTAAGTCAATGGAGGAGTCAATATTTTTTTTAGAAAAAATTAATCTAAGTGCCTATTGGATTTTGATCATTTAAAACCAAAATATAATTTGGAAATATGAGCACTAGAATGCTGCTCTTTGCTATGTCTTCCTGAATGCTGTCTACCTTTACTTTTTTGATTATATTTTCATCATATTCCTGTTGCTTTGTAGGAAACACTGAGAAGGATGCACGCTCAATGGTAACAACTGTTATGATTTTTATCTTAAATTGCTAAGTAGATATTATGTGAAATATATAACTTTAACAATCAGCCTTGTTTCCTTACCCATCCAGCCTACCACAGAAGTGGAGGATTCTCCTCAAAGTGAAGCAATGGAAAAGGCAGAGGCAAGACCGTCCAAGTTAGGTGAACACTCCAGTTCTAATTACTAGAAACAAAGTAGGTGTAAGGTTAATGTGCACAGGGTTCCTGTCCCAATTCCATGTGACCGCAGAGGACGGGGAAATCTGTCATCCCCAGTGCTGGTGTCATCATTGGCATCCATATTTCAGAAAAATGTATGAGATGTTGACAAATGGATTTCAACTTAGATTTTTATTTCTCCTTTTCTGTTTTAAAGCCTTAAATTTATCCGTTTAGAATCTGTCCCTCATAGGCCCTTACCAAGGTTAATCATGGGGCTTATCAGATGCTCCTAAAATTCAAACATGCTGGGACTGGGTACAATTGAGGACATAGTCTAAGACAACTATATATAAATGTGTCAGGATGCGGTACAGGTATCCGTGATAATCTGAAAAACATCAGTCGAAATAGAAATAAAATGCCAGAGATGCAGATACTGTGACACAACCCAGAGTCTCAGGTCCTGGAGCCCAGGAGTTCTGGACTAGCTTTGACACACAGCAAGATAATTTCTATTCAAAGATAAATAAAGGAAAGCCCATTTTAGTCATATACTGACACTAGGTCATTTATTAATAATTCAGTTTTTTCCAGTTAATTTAGTGATGTCATCAGATGTATATCTGATCACAAAATAAAATATTATATAATTAGATATAATGTATAAATCCAAACATACAACCTTCAAAATGAGTTAATTATATTTAAATTTTCTTTACTTTTACTTTTCCTTATTTGCTTGTTTTTAAGTCAGTTTCAAGTATTTTATACATTATAGAAAACAATGTGACCAAAACCACCCCCTTTAACCTCTCTTCCATTCTATTCACCTTGGCTTTCTCAAATAATTGTTTTTCTATTATTTTCTTTTTTTCTGAGTGGTTCAGAATCATTCTACCTGCATCCTAAGCATAACCTCTATAAGGAGCCGCTCCCTGAGTCCCACTCTGGTTTCTCACATGGTTCAGTAGAAATGAGACACAGAAATGCTAAAAAACATTAGACTGAGCCCCTTAGCATCAACCATAGGAATATAAATCATGAAGCATTGACTATGGGAACGTAATCCGTAAAGTGCCCAGGGCTGGCAGGTATCCTGTTGTCCTTCTCATCGAATTTGCTAATTGTTCATGTTGATAGCAAGAGTCTGTTCTTCAGGAATCCAGATTAGTGCTTTAAAATTCCTCTATAGTGCAAATTAATGTTTATGTCATAAATTTCTAAATATTTCTGGATGCTTTACTTCAAGTCTGTCCAGTTTTCATCTTCATTTTGTAACACTGCTTTCTCTTCACTCCTCTTCCACTACTGGAGATCCTATCTCAATGAATGAATGAATGAATGAATGAATGAATGGGGGAAAAGATATGTACCAACCAGTCCATGAGTAGAAGTGTTAGGCATATAAGTCAATAATTTCATGTGGTAAGAATGTAAGATGAACTCTGAATATGGTATTTAGGTAGCCTCCAGGAAAACCAATCCCTATAAATCTAGAGAGAGTCAAAATGAGGAAGACTCATGTAACAGAATGTTAAACATTTGTCAGAGTAGTGCATCAAAAACATGTTCAGCATAAGGAACAAGTTCACAGACAAATGTGAACACAGGAGCAATATTATTTTGATGAATACATTTTTGAATACTTTAAAAGTTATTTTGAGGTAGAAAATAATTTAGAGTATTAATTTTTTCAAATGATATTTAAAAATTTTTGTTATTGGGGGTTTGTTCATGCATGTTTAATGGATTAACTATGGATGAATCTTTGAGATGTTTCTATGTCACCTTTAAATCATCCAATATCTATCCAAGTGATACATATATGTTTTGCATAATTAGGTCTATTTTATAAATAAACCTTCAAGTTGATTGAGATAATTTCTTGAGAAAATATAGATTACATTTTTATTATCATTAATGTTAAATAGGTATATGTTGCTATATAATGTTCTCTATGCATAATGTTCTATAAGTTGCTATAGAAAGTGTAACCTTATCCAACTCTTATTAGTAACTTATATTCAGCATGTACACATGATATACACATGATCTATACATGTTTATTTTATCTCCAGAACCAGGCTTACGAGTGTCCTCAGAGAAAAAGTCAAAAAAATGTGATCACAAAGAAAATAACCGGCCATTGGTAAAGTTTCAATTGCTCATCCAGTATTGTCTGCTTTTATTGAAGATGATTTTAAAGGCCAAGTGGAATTTTCTTGAAACTGCCTTGAAAATTTAGTAGATAATTCCACATTTAATTTTTTAAGTATTTCAACTAACTATAGAACTTAGACAGGACAGTGACATTCTTATTTGTTAACTTTCTCCATGACAGAAAGGTCATGTAAGAATCAAACCTTATGGAAAATCAGCTGAAGTTACAAGCAACCTAACAGTTACAGACCATGAGTGTGATCATTCCCGGGGTCAAGTATATGGTTTCATGTTATCGGCCAGTAACATTTGGTTAAACTTCCAATCCTTGCTTTGATATCTAGTTGACTTCAGTGTTTTGTAGAAAGAGGGACTAGGAAATTTAACAGCTCCATTATCCCATAAGTGACTAATCCATCCATGATGGACCCTCTGGAGTGAGAGTAGATAGATATCTTTCCTCTTTGTCTTCATCTCAATGAAAGAAACCACTAAATATGCTAATGCCGTACACTGGTTTCAGTGCCCATAAGAATATGTTAGGACCAAATGATGTAGATACTTTATGTGAAAGCATGACACTTAACATTCTGTCAGTAAATAGCAGGATTTGATCTTTTTAACACATGGACACTCACATGTATACCACATTTCTCCATACACAAACTTGTATACGAACACATGCACAAAGTAAACTTCTGCAAGCTAAATGAAGCAACATCTGAAATTTTCTGTGTATTCTCATTGTTATATTCTCTGGGTTCAGTTCTCAAGTTGAGTATCATAGTTTAAAACAAAAACAATTTATGTTGTTTAAAACATTTTAAATAACTAATATTTTATTTATAGCAAGTGAATGTTTACGATTTGTGTATGTGGTAAAAATATTCTTTTTGTTCTGAAATACATATTAGATATTTTAGTTTGTCTTTTTTCCCCTCCGGAGCTGAGGACCAAACTCAAGGCTTTGCACTTGTTGGCAAGTGTTCTATCAATGAGCTAAATCCCCAACCCCCGTATTAGATATTTTAAAGGCAATTTCCTTGTTGATATTTGTATGAGAGAAAATATCAGAATTTTAAAGACTATGGTTACTGTCAATGCTCATGTTTGACTAAAGACTGAGTAGCCATGAAAGTAAAACCTAGATTCAGCCTAGGGAGTACATGCCAGGTTCTTTAGTGAAATGCATCCGCTCTAGTGCATTATCTTATGTCCAGTTGCTTTCACAATTACAATCGTGACATAGTTTTAGAAAAAGGATTGGCAAAAGATGTGTGCTACTCTTTCTTGATGTGAACTTTAACAGAAATTCTTCGAGAGGGTTTTTCGGGATAGTCATTCCTCTGGGACTCGAGACGAGGAAAGCAAAGACATCACAAAAGGAAGAGTTCTCGGTAAGAAACATTCTTTTATTTAAAAACATTAGCTGAGGGGCTGGAGAGACGTCTCAGCCATTGACAACATTTGTTGCTCTTGCAGAGGACCCAGTACCCACATGGTGAGCCATCATGGGCACCGGACATGCATGTGCTGCACATTTATTATATACATAAAGTAAAATAAATACATAAATCTAAAACAAACCTTTGAAGTTATTTGTCAGAAATATTTGTGTAAATTTGAATAAAGGAATGAATATTTTATGAACTCTTACTCTGAAACAGTATATCCACTCTTATCAATTTGGAAACTTATCACCCTCAAAAATTAATTCTACGTTTCATTCTACCAATAAGAAAACACGGTTCTTACTAAATTAAAGAATGACTTGGAAATCCATCTAGTCAACTTCGTCATTTACCCATTGGAATCATTTGTTCCTCTTATTGTAGATCACAAGTCTCTCCATCAGCCAGAATGTTGCCACCCCAGGTCCACACTTCTCTAGTTAATATCCATTGAGTATATTATCATTATTTTGTAATATAAACTGTATGTTTCATTAACTTTGTATGCATTTCAACAGCATATTTTATATTTCTATGCTGACCAGAGTAAAGACAAAACTTAAAAATCATTTTTCAAGTACTGCATGACTGCCATTCCCATCTTATCTCTTCATGTGTCCAGAGTGGGTATTGTTATAATTCATAATTTTGACCATTTTCTGTTACCTTTTAGCATGGGTTGAAAAAGATGATCTCTCTAAGGTAAAAACATATACCTTTTTTTTCTTGAATTATTAAGGATATGCATTGTAAATCACACAACATTTACTAAATATCTTGCTTCAAATCCTATCCAGCCTAGAACTACAGAGAAAAAGTCTTCCACAGATGAAGTAGAAATAATCACGTTAAAGTCTTTCAAATCAGGTAAATTTTTATAATTCAACAGAATCTGGAAAGAAAAGGTGTTAGCACTGCCTATCACTTTGACAATCTTCATTCTATTCCCCCAATACTGATAGTAAAATAGGATCTAAAGGATTCAGTTTTCACTGTTTCTATCAGTGTTTCAAGGGGAGTCATTCACAAGCATAAATAGAAGATTAAAATATGTAGAGACTGGCTTAGAGGTTTCTAGTTTCCTGTTTCAGTATCAAAAACGTATTTAGACTCTAACCATCATAGACATTGATAAAGATTATTATTAGATGTCTTAGATTTTTCCCAAGTTTAAAAGTGCTTACTATAGATCTGGGTGTCATGATCCATACCTGTGTTCTTAGTCACTCGAGAGGCTGAAGCAGGGCATTTCTTGTACCCAGAAATTCTGTGTTGGTGTGGTTGCAAAGCAAGATATACCCTCTTAAAGATAAAAACACAGAACCAATTTTTATTCCACATACAGTTCATTTGTGATCTCTGCCTAAGTTGAGTACAACATTATGTACCTGCTGCTGGCAGGTAATAATCATCTGATGTAATATTGTACACTTTTGAATAAGCTACAAATCCAAACATTCTTACTTTTTAACCCATCGTGTTTGCTATATTATTTTCTTCCTTTTTACATTGGGGGATATGTAGTAGTATTGTGTTCCCCAAAATATTGTGTACCCTAATAAACTTATCTGGGGTCAGAGAACAGAAAAGCCACTAGATACTTAGGATAGGCAGTGGTAGCACACACCTTTAATCCTAGCATTCCAGAGGCAGAAATCCATTTGTTCAAGGATACAGCCAAGCATGGTGACTCACGCCTTTAATCCCAGGGAGTGATGGTAGAAAGCAGAAAGGTATATAAGGTATGAGGACCAGAAACTAGAAGCATTTGGCTGGTTAAGCATTTGGCTGGTTAAGCTTTTAGGTTTTGAGCAGCATAGTTCAGCTGAGAGCCATTCAGATATGAGGACACAGAGGCTTCCAGTCTGAGGAAACAAGACCAGCTGAGAAGTTGGCTAAGTGAGGTTAGCTGTGGCTTGTTCTGTCTCTCTGATTTTCCAGCGTTCAACCCAATAACTGGCCTCAGGTTTCATTTTATTAATAAGAACTTTTTAAGATTCCTGCTACAGGGATATGCTGGGGAAATCCCAGAATTTTTCACTTGATATTGCACAGTCTTGTATGTGTGTTACTACTCCTACCTTCTATTTATCATTATTATTATTATTATTATTATTATTATTATTACTATGCTCAGCTTTGTAGCAACAAAGAGCACAATGCTTACAAGAAGAGCTGAGTAAATTCCCTCAAAATTTACGATGAAGTAGAAATATTGAGCAACCAAGGACAATTACAAACATTTGAGTTTCTTTTTACATCTGACTTTTTTCTTTCTCCCAGTAATTACTGGCATTTCATACTTGAGGAATTCATATTTGTGCATTTTCCATTTAGCAAAATCCACTCTCTTCTTGTCACTAATGAGGATATACCCTAGCTATTTCTGAAAACACTAACTCTGTGTCTGCCTTCCATCATGTTTATCTCTGCTTTGTTGCCTTCTCTGAGTTCGTCTGCCCCCATCATTCACGCACCACTTACACCTGTTCTCCACCACTTATAGAATATACATGTACAATGCAACATGAACAAGTTAACACACAACTTCTCAGTTACAAGACTTTCGTAATCTACCTCCACACAAGTCTCCCTCTGTAGTTCTTTTCTCTAGCATTATTGGCGTTTCCATCTTCACCAATAACTCTTGTTTGACAAGCACTCTATTGAATACTCCTCTTCCTCTGTGGGTACCATCTCTTGTGCTGACATCCTTCCCTGCCCTCCACCTGCCTCAAGTTGTTCTTTCAATGTCAGAACAGGCATCACCTCCAGCGAAGGTACGCACTGCATATTTCAAGCACATTTTCAAAAGTGCTGGGCCATCCCCCGAAAGGTGCAATAATAAGTACTTATTGAGCAAAACAAAGAAAGAGAATATATACTTAAATGACTGAAAAGATTGCCCACTCCAGTTTGAGAGTGAACTGTGTAGACACACAAAGAAGTCATTTACAACTCAAGAGGTAAATGTGGTAACCTTAAGCAAAGTGCCACCTGCTTATCGAGGTGGAGGCATCATCAAGGATGGCTTCAAATATTAGATGGAATTTTAACAGATAACATGTTGGGATGCATCAGACGGTAAAGCTTAAGGTTACTTGAAATTCCTCAGGAAATCACAGATGTACTTTATTATCATTGATTTTAAGCTGTTTCTACATATTGATAGAGACTATTATTTTATGTCATTTTTAAAAAGTTTATGTTCACAAAATATATAGATTTGTCTCTAGAGGTAGTCATAGAAGTGTCATCGGAAGAAGAACAGAAGGGAGAGGATGATGATAATGATGATGTTGGTAATGGCATCGCACATCTGCAACACTCGGTAAGGAAGCCTTTAATTTCTCATTTAGTGTTTTCTTGTGTTTAATAATGTAGCACCAAACACATGCAATTACCTTCAAGTTATCTTATAGGACCAATAGAAAATTTTATCCTATTTTTTAGTTGTACCTAATTATAAAATTTAGAATGTTCTTAGACTCTACAATAACTTATCATTAAATTTTATGCCAGGATATATGGCATGTTTTTGTTTATTTTGGTCCATATATAAAACCTCTTTAAATTATACAAATTAAAATCAAATTGTATCATATGGCTAAACAATAATAATTTTGAACAATGTAGAATTGATGGTACCTGTATTAGATTCATGCAAAAGGGTGGTCATTCTCAGTGGTTCAGAATTTGTGGCTTTCCATTACCAGTCAGTAACACCTGGGTTAAAGTTTGGATTCTATCTTTCTATCTCTAGTTGACTTCAGTGTATTTATAGAGGCAGGGAATAGGGTGATTTTAACACTAACCCATACTAAAGGCAAATAATTCCCAATGCTACCTAGTGTTTTGAGGGGACATTAGTATACATTTGGGCTGGACTTCATTCAGATGCTTCATAGGCTACATGACACTACCATTGTATACAATTTATAGATTGAAGTATAAAACTTTTTCCTTCTGTGTGGTGGGATTTTCGTATTTTTATTTTTATATCTTTTTCTCTCTTTACATCCCATAGATGAGTTAACTCACAGCTCAAATGTTCCCTTGCAGCAAATAGTTCTTCCATGTCTGTTCTGTTATTCACCATGATCTTTGTTATTGACCAATTGAGTTAAACATTTCTGGTCAGATGTTGAGTGCGGCTGTCATTCATCAATCATTCCACACAAGATTCATCATACTATGTGTCCCTTCTTTCATGGAAAGAGCAGAATTTATATGATTATTTGTGTTTATTGAAGATGGAAAATGAAAGCCATTTATATAGTTTTCAGTTTAAACCCACATGAATAAAATAGTGATAAAATATGAATTTCTGCATTATTCAGCTTGAGTTAACTTTAATAAATATAAATCATGCAAACAGAAGCAAATTGTTTATTGAAATATGGTAGAAACAACGTAAAATGCATTACATGTAATTATAAAGAATTACAAATTTCTTAACATTTTAATATTTTTAAAAATACTGTATATTAAGCCAAGAGTGGCGGCACATGCCTTTAATGCCAGCACTTGGGAGGTAAAGGGAGGCAGATCTTTGTGAGTTTGAGACCAGCCTGGTCTGCATAGTAAGTTCCAGGATGGCCAGAGTTGTGTAATAGTGAGACCCTGTCTTAAAAAATACAAAAACAAATACTGAGTATTAAAGAAGTAAGTTTTAAAATATATGCTATTTGGGTTCAGATCATTGTTTAGTGAAGGCGGGTAAAGTGTTGCACAAGCTTAAGAAACTGAGTTCAGCTGGGCAGTGGTGGTGCCCGCCCAGCACTCAGGAGGCAGAGCCAGGTGGATCTCTGTGAGTTCGAGGCCAGCCTGGTCTACAGAGCAAGATCCAGGACAGGCACCAAAACTACACAGAGAAACCCTGTCTCAAAAAACCAAGAGAAAGAGAGAGAGAGAGAGAAGAGAGAAAGAGAGAGGAGAGAGAGAGAGAGAGAGAGAGAGAGAGAGAGAGAGAGAGAGAGAGAGAGAGAAGTATGAATATATATTATTTTGTGTTTGTCTATGTGCATGTGCGTGCTCGCGTATCACAGTACATGTATGCAGATGAGAGGGACAGTTCTTTCCTTGAATAATGCTGATCCTGTGAGGTAGATTGAACTCAGGTCATCAGGCTTAGAGGCAGGTGCCTTTATTGTGCTCAGTCATGTAGCAGTATGTGCATGTGAGTTCAGCTGTGGAGGAGGAAAAAAAAAAAAGAAACTGAGTTCAGCTTCCCAGGCTTGATGGTGTATAACTCCTGTTCTGGGAGTGAGGATGGACACAGGTGGATTCTTGAAGCTTGTTAACTAGACAGTCTAGCCAAAATAGCAAGCATATAAAATAAGGAGACTACCTATAGTCAGTCTCTGGCCTCCACACATACAGTCACAGGTGAGAACACATAAACACCCATGAAGTTGGGTGCATAGATAAGGGTGGAGGATGGGGCATAGGGAAAGAGTGTGATAAAATGATAATGTGTGGGCGGTGGTGGCGCACGCCTCTAATCCCAGCACTCGGGAGGCAGAGGCAGGTGGATCTCTATGAGTTCGAGGCCAGCTGGGCTACAGAGTGAATTTCAGGAGAAGGCGCCAAAGCTACACAGAGAAACCCTGTGTTGAAAAAAAAAAAAAAAAAAAAAAAAAAAAAAAGATAATGTGTGAAATTCTCAAAGAATAAGTAAATACATTTTTAAAAAATTCAGTGGCTCTACATATTATGCAATAAAGACTTATAATACATTCTATTATAATTTAATATCTGTAAAGGAAAAATTGTATCTCTCTGGAATGATCCTGATTTATCTTTCCCTAATTGTATATACATGAAAGTGTATATGCACATATACATTCCAAAGTGTAGTTGTTTTTGAGATGAAACGACAAACTCTCCTAGAATCACAAGGAGGGAAAAACTGCCTGTGGAGTGTAAACAGTTACCTCTGGAAGATGATGTTAGATTTGTAAATATCTCCAGCCATTAGGATACTGTGGGAGTGCCTGGCACTATTCTCTGGATACATTATTGGCTATGGAAGTCAAGGGTTTTTTTTTTTCTGCTTTTTTATTTTATTTTATTTTATTTGTTTTTTTAATTTTATTTATTTATTTTTTTTGGTTTTTTGAGACAGGGTTTCTCTGTGTAGCTTTGCGCCTTTCCTGGAGCTCACTTGGTAGCCCAGGCTGGCCTCGAACTCACAGAGATTCGCCTGGCTCTGCCTCCCGAATGCTGGGATTAAAGGTGTGCGCCACCACCGCCCGGCTATTTTATTGTTTTTTATAAATATTTTTATTTTATAATTAATTTAAGTTTATATATCAGCCACAGATTTCCCTGTCTTCCCTTCTCCCACCCCCCAGCTTCCCCCCGCCACACACATCCAGACCCCATTCCCACCTCCTTCAAGGCAAGGTCTCCCCTGGAGAGTCAGTCCAGCCTGGTAGATTCAGTTGAGGCAGGTTCAGTCCCCTCCTCCCTGTACCAAGTGTGAGCAAAGTGTCTCAGCATATGTCCTAGGTTCCAAAAAGCCAGCTCATTCACCAAGGACAGGTCCGGCCCCACTGCCTGGGGGGCCTCCTAAACAGTTCAAGCTAATCAACTGTCTCACTTATCCAGAGGGCCTGGTCCAGTTCCATGGGGGCTCCTCAGCTATTGGTTCATAGTTCTTGTGTTTCCGCTAGTTTGACTATTTGTCCCTGTACTTTTTCCAATCATGGTCTCCATATCTCTTGCTCAGATAATCCCTCCTTTCTCTCATTGATTGGACTCCTGGAGCTCCACCTGTGGTTTGGCCATGGATCTTTGCTTCTGCTTCCACCAGTCACTAGATGAGAGTTCTATCATGACAGTTAGGGTGTTCGGCTATCTGATCACCAGAGTAGGTCAGCTTAGGCACTCTCTCGACCATTGCCAGTAGTCTATTGTGGTGGTATCTTCGTGGATTTCTGGGGACCTCTCGCAGCACTCTGCTTCTTCCTATTCTCATGGGGTCTTTGTTTATCACGGTCTCTCTTTCCTTTTTATTTTTTTAATCTATCTTTACTTTGTGATGCTAGAGATCACACATATTTAGAGATACCAGGAACATGCCCCACAACCCATCTGGACTGCAAGCTCAGTATTTGGAGATGTAAATTCCATATGTATATTTCACCACCTTTAAAACTCTGTTTCTTAGACTTTAAAAATTTCTTTTTTCACTCACATGAATACTGGTTGTACCTATCAAGTTATAAAAGAATCATTACAAAGAATTTACAGACATCAACCCTTAACTTGGATTTTCATAGTTTTATTTTTATGGGAGATGCTTCCACAATTCTAAAACTTTTTAGGAGGTGAGGGTCTCTATGTGTTCTTTGTGCTTATCTACAATTCTGAACTTCAGCAATATGACTGCCTTGGTCTCTTGAGCCACTGGGGTCATAGGTGGGACCCACCTATAATGGCTCCTAATTTAAAACTTCTTATAGTTATTTTTTATTATTTAAAACAAATTTTAAATCTAAATATATTTTGATCATATACTTCCCTTTTCCCAAGTTTTTACAGGTCCTCTCCCAGTTTTTACCTACCCAACTTTAATTTCTTTCTCCAAAAATAAACAAAAACCCAATACAACAACAAAATGCCCCAAAATCTTGAAAACAAAATACAATATCACCCCAAAAGAAAAATAAATAAAAAACAAAAATTAAACTAGCCAAATAAAAGTGAGCACACACACTTGCACATACACACACACACACACACACACACACACACACACACACACACACCAACCAACAAACAAAAACTCAACAAACTGTGGAGTCCATTATTTGTTGGTCAACTACTCCTGAACATGAGACCTGCCCTGGAGTATTTGATATATCCAATATCATTCCACTGCAGAAAACTAGTTTTCCCTTTCCTATTAGTTATAAATAACAGTTCAGTGTCAACCTTTACCTTAGTGACAAGGTTTTTATTCATTCATGCATTCATTCATTATTCATTTATTTTTTAAATATAACAAAATAAAATATAATAAGATAAAACAAAAACTTAAGACAAACAGAGGGGAAAGAGCCCAGGAGAAAGCACAAGAAACAGAGATTCACTAGTTCACACATTCAGGAATCCCATAAAAACACTAAACTGGAAGCCGTAATACAAACACAGAGGACCTGGTACAGACCCATGCAGGCGTGTGCATGCTGCTTCAGTCTCCGAGTTCATATGAGCTTTACTCAGTTGATAGAGAGGGCCCGGTGTCCTCCAACCCCTTTGGCTTTTACATTCTTTCCTCCTCCTCTTCTGCAGGGTTCCCTAAGTTCTGAGGGGAGGGATTTGATGGAGACATCCCATTTAGGGCTGAGTGTTCCAAGGTCTCTTACTCTCTGCGCATTGTCTGGTGGTGGGTCTCTGTATTTGTTCTCATCTTCTGCAGGAAGAAGTTTTTCTGATGGCTGAATAAGGCACTGATATATAAATATAGCAGAATGTCATTAGGTGTCACTAATTATCACTACATTTTTTTTAGTCCAGTATTATTCAGTTTTGCCCTAGAACCCTGGGCTATCTAGTCTCAGGTCTTTGGTTACTCAGACAGTGTTGGGTATGGTTTCCATCTTGTGGAGTAGGCCTTAAGTCAGATCAGTTATCCAATAGTTATTTTTAAAGAGTCTTCTTGTTGAACATTTTTATAATAAAATATTTTCAACAAAATTTAACAAACATATTTGTATTGCATACCAGATATCAGAAATTATATATGTTAATATTACTGCATTCTACAGACACAAAACAAAAGCTGACAAACAAAACATTATTTCTTCTTATTTTACCTCCTCTGTCATTCTTAGCATTTTAGAGTTCTGTGTACATACACATTAGTCATGGCACAATAGCATATTTTTTATACACATTTGCCTCATAAACACATATGCTTGCCCTGAATAACATCATCTAATCTGTCTCCTAATGTTAATACAGACCTGTCTTTAAACCTTCTAAGTGACCCAAATTTCCCACCTCTGAAACTGAATGCATTGACCTTATGCTTGCCTTCTTATATTACTCTACTTTGACCTCTACTTCCCCCTTTATTGAAAGTTTTATAAAGTGGATATCATGAACTGAAGCTGAGGAGATACTGGACTCAAACCCTCCTCACAATTTCACACTTGGTTTTCTAGCTGATTACCAGGTTTAATATGGTACAAAGATGATTACATTTATAGCCTACTTATTATTGTCATCATCATCATCATCATCATCATCATCATCTTCATTATGTGTGTGCATTAATTTTGCATGAATTTGAATTTCAGTGTGTGTGAACATACACCTGCCATTGCATGCCTGTGGATGTCAGAAGACTTTTGAGTCTGTTCTCTCCATTCTGCGAACTGCCCTCAGATTGTCAGCCTTGTGCATTAGGCACTATTATCTGTTGAGCTGTCTTGCTGGCCTGTCATCAACTATTTTGAAATGTTTTTTCTTATCCTTTCTCTCTGCGTTATGGTCTTTTACCCTTACACAGTTATGAGTGAGACTTACATACAACTATTTTTCTGAAATAACTCAGTTCTTATTGTGTGGGTTGCTTGTGCTATGAAGAGGAATTCTCACCTCCTGTCTAGAATGAGGTATTCCTCTTGTGGTTTGGCCTTGGTTTTCCTATTTGACCAATTGATCTCATTACCAGTAACTGTATTCCACTTTTGCTCATGATGCCTTGTCTACAAGGCCCTTTGTTCTGGCCCTCTCTGCTTTCTCTTTCTTTCAAATTATCATGAAGAATGGTAATGGAATTTTCCCAAGTCCCTGCCCTGAGTATTCCTCCAAGTGTCCTGGGGAAGACACTATGTCCGGCAGGCGTTATCTGAGGGAAAAGAATCTACTTACACCATGCTCTTTCGTCTGTTACTTTATTTCTATATAACAAACTTCTCTATACAACTTCAGCTCCATCCTCACATTCAGCTCCTCTCTGTACCTACTTTTCCTGTCTTCTCATAGTTCTGATTAAGCTCCTATGCTTTTAACCTCATCTTCATCCTCTGTTCCTTTGTCCTCCATCTTTCCTTCCTAGCTCCTTATCCCTGGCTCTGAGAAACTCTGCCTTTGTCTCTTCTCTCTGGTCATGCAGCTCTGCCTGCCATCTATAGAAACTCGCCTTGTTTTCTTCTCCTCCAGCCACGTGGCTCTGCCTGTTCTTTCTCTCCCTGCCACACAACTCTGCTCTGGCCAGGAAATCTGCCCGTCTTTACTGCACCTGGTTATGCAAAAAGCCCTATTGTCCTGAGTCAGTAGCTCTACAGTACTACTAGGCCTGAAGGCAAGGGATGGTCTGAGCTTCATTTGCATAAGAAACAAAGCTGTGCATCTGCCTCCTAGGCCCTGTAGGGAGTGTTAGTTACCTAGTGGATCAGCATCTGTTTGCCAATGGCCTAGTAGTATATGGGCCCACAAGAATTTCATAGCAGAAGATAGCTAAAATATTAAAAACTCAGCAACACCAAATATTCCTTGATAAACGGCTTCTTCTAATGCCTTGAAATTTCTAGGTATAGCTTTAATATACAGCAGAATCTCTATAATATATTCTTGCGGCCCATAAGAGAATGGATTCTTTCTTATATAATCAAAGTAAATTCTCCTCAGTGTTAGAAATAATGAAATAAACTTTTCTCATTTGTTATCATGTATCACTGACTCTCCTTGAAAAAAGAAGTTAATCTCTCTTATCTGTGTTTCATGGGTTGTGTCTTTAACTTGACAGACTGTAAATATGTTTGCCTCAGTGACTGATACAGTGAGTGAGTGATGGAGAGAATGAATGAAGAAATACATTTCTGAGGTTGTGTTTTCTTTGTGTTTCATGACAGGAAGAAGAAATAAAGCAGACATCAGAGAAAAGTAACCAAGGGACTAGTCCTTCCAGTAAGCAAATGAGTAATGACAATCTCAGTTATGCTAATGAGAGGAATAACAACTTTGATAATAAATTTGTAAATATGCATGAAAAGTGTTTCATGTGCAAGTAATAATATAATAAAAAAAGTACAAATGTGCATATTTTCAAATAAACATTGCTTTTAAATAGCTTTTCTTGTTCAGTTTCTACTATAACAGTGTCTTCCGGCAAATGCTTCAAACATCTGAAAATTTGTCTCATTGTTTCATCAAAATGTACAAATGTCAACATGTAGTGATAAGATATATGTAATATACACACAACACATATATTTTTTAAGTATGTATATTTAACTTCCCTGTAACAAATGTTCTCTTTAATGTTTCTGTAACTGCATTGTATAGATAAGACATCCATCCAGAAAGAAGTTGAAGACCCAACTGAGGACTCTAAGGTTTGTCCAATGTTGTTTTTTGTTTTGAAAAAAAAAAAAAAAAAAAAAGCGCTTTGAATGGTGTATCTGTAGTAAATTCATTTCAGTAACACATCTTATGAATTAAACTTATTTTCTTATTTGTTATCAAATGTTACTGACTCTGCTTCAATACAGAAGTTAATCTCCTTTATCCTCAGCTTCTCAGGGGTTGTGTCTATAACTTGACCGACTAAATATTTTTGTTTTAATGACTGATACATTGAGAGAGTAATAGAATGAAGAAGCAGAATTTCTAAAGATTTTGTTTTCTTTGTTTTTCATGACAGGGAGTAACAACAGAGCAACCCTTAGGAAAAGGTAAACAAGGGAATCCTTCTTGTCAGCAAACAAGTAATAAAATTTCAGTTAAATTCAGAGGTAACAAAAATGCCAAAAATGATAAATTTGCAAATATACTGAAAATTTTTTATGCTCAAGCACCAATATTGTAATAAAATAAGTACAGATATTCTAATCCCTCTGCCCAGCCAGATCTCACATATTCTTTAAGCATCTAACTCTATGATCCACCTGACCCTCTATGCAACCTTTCCAAGCTCCCGGATCCAGCCAGATTCCCACATCTAGTGCTCTGGCCTGGTCTGGCTAATCCTGCTTCCACTGCTGCGACCCTCCAGGCCCTAGCCAAGACCCATTATACCTACTCCCAACCTGTGGGCTCCTCAAGTGACAGCCACATACAGCCTCTCTGCCCAGTCAGGTCCTGCACTTCTTTGCCAGGGTCTAGCAGGATGAGTTTGCCTCATCCTTCCCTCCATGCACATTACTCAACCTCCAGATCTAAGCCCAAACTCCATGCTTGGACCAGGACGCACATCTTGAATGACAGCTCAGCCCCATTTCTCCATCTGACTTCATTCCCCTTAAGCCATATTGAACTTTCAGCCTTAAATGGCCTGTGTTCCCCTGCTGCGTCAATATTATAAACAAAACTCACAAAAGAAGTCTGCACGCCCAGAGCTCATATGAAAAATACAAACAATATGAAATATCAAGACAGTATCTCTCCTCACTCCAAATCTACCAGTCTTATAGAAATGTTCACGTATATGATCCCAGAACACAGAATTTAAAATAATAATCATAAACTTTATCAAAGAATTCAAGGAGTTTAAAGAAGACACAAAGAAACAACTCAGTGAACTAAAAAAGAATCAATGCCTGAGTGATGCCCAGGATAATCCAGGATTTCAAATTAGAATTCAATAAATAAAAACACTAAAGAAAACTTGAGGTAAACTGAAGATGAAATTGAAAACTCCAACAGTTCAGCTAGAAACCTTAAGAAGAAGCCTTACAAGTCAAATGAATCAAGCAGAACAGATAATATCAGGGTTCAAAAAATGAAGTGTATAATCTAGACAAAATAATCACAGGATGTGAAAAATTACAAACAAACAAACAAACAAACAAACAATCCCCCACCAAAAAACAAACAAACAAAAAACAAAACAAAACAAAACAAAAAACCACCAGAAAGGAACATTCAGGAAATGAAGAAACATGGTTCACCATAAAAAGACCAACCTCTTGAATTATAGGAGTAAATGAAGGAGAAAAATCCCAGGTCAATGGCATAGACCAGATAGATCTTCAATAAGATCATTGAAGAAAACTTCCACCAACTAAGTATACACCCATACAGATACAAGTATATAGAACACCAGATAGACCAGAAAAGAAACTCCTCAAGACATACCATAGGTAAAACTCCAAGTATGCAAAACGAAAAGAGCATTGAGAGATAGAAGAGAAAAAAATCTCAAGTCACAAATAAAGAGAAGCCCACCAGAACAATAGTAGTGATTGGTCAGTGAAAACTATGAGAGCTGTAAACGCCTGGAACAATACATGCCTAACCTTAAAAGACCTTGACTGCCAACTTAGACTAATGTATCCAGCAAAACTGTCTGCCATGGTTGAAGAAGGCAGAAAACCTTTTCATAATGTAAATAGAATGCATCCTGAGACAAAAAGCAAAAGAGAATCTTAACAAGTTTCTAAAAATTGAAACAACTATGTTGTGTATCATATTTGACCATAATGCAATAAAACTTAAAATTGACAACAAACAAATCTCTAATATATACTCATTGCGATTAAACAACTCATTACTGAATGGTGAATGAGTCAAAGAAGAAATCAAAGAAAAAAATTCTTGGAACTAAATGAAAATGAAAACACAACACAATAAAAACTCCAAAATACACTAAAAGAAATCCCATGAAGAGAATTTATGGCTCAGAAAGAATATAAATAAATGACTTGATGATGCAACTCAAAATTTATAAAAACAAGAACAAATCAAATCCTTACTCAGTTAATGTCAAGAAATAATAAAAACCAGAACAGAAATTAATGAAATAGAAAGAAAGAAAATAATAGGGAAAAAAAACAGTGACTGTGACTACTGGTTCTTTGAGAAGATGAATAAGATCAACAGACCCTGGCCCAATTATCCAAAAGGAAAAAGTGAGTGTGAGGTCCAAAGTAGGTTCCCCCCACAAATGGCAGTACTGCTGACAATGTGCTAAACAGGACTCTGACCAAGTAACCAGAAGGATTGCTGCTGGATAAACAGCCGCATACATTCAGCATTCCTCAGCAATCAACAGGTTTCTGTTTATCCGGAGCCTTCCTGTTAACTACCTTTCCTGTCCTAGCTAATTTTGTGCCAACTGGACGCAAGCTAGAGTCATCTGAAAGGAAGGAACCTTAATTGAGAAAAAACTTCCATACGATTGATCCAATGGTAGGGCATTTTCTTAACTAGTGATTGATGTGGAAGGACTCAGCCCACTATGGGTGCTGCTCCCCGGGGGGCTGGTGGTCCTGAGTTCTGTAGGACAGCAGTCAGAGTAAAGACATGGAAGCAAGCCAGTGAGCATCACCCATCCATCCCTTCTGTGTCACTTCTTGCTTACCTGTGTCACAGGTACTTACCTTGTTTGAGTTCCTGTCCTGACTTCCTTCAGTGATGAACAGTGCTGTGGAAGTGTAATCCAAATAAACTATTTCCTCCCCAAGTTTCTTTGGCCACGGTGTTTCAGCACAGCAGTAGTAACCCTAACTAAGACATCCAGCAGGAATATACATACAGTCCTTGGTCAATCCAAACAGCCTGTATCTGCTCAAAGACACCCCGCCCCCAACACACACACCCCTGACTGTCAAATAAAATCTGCTTACTTTCTTACCATTTTGCTTTCCTCTGTCCCCCGAGGGGTAGCCTTGGCAGTTTGATCCTCAATCAATTTTTCTTTCTACCTAGAGTGGCCTAGTTTAGTGGTTTCACTGTACTCTTGCATGTATTGAGAAGCCAAATTAACAAAGTCAGCATGAACAGGAAACATTTAAAGTATATTCTAAAGTGATTCAGAATGTTTATGAGAGGATATTTAAAAAAAAAAACAAAACTGCACTCTATTGAAACAGATTTCTAGATTCAGCCAAATCACCAAAATTAAACCAAGAAGTCAAAAACCTAAACAGATCCTCACAAATGAGGAGATTCAAACAATAACAAAAAGCCTTATAGCTTAGAAAAAATTTAAAATGGATTCACAGTAGAATTATACCAGAACTTGAAATAAGATTTATAATCTTTTTTTTTTTTTTTTTTTTTTTTTTTTTTTTTTTGGTTTTTCGAGACAGGGTTTCTCTGTGTAGCTTTGCGCCTTTCCTGGAATTCGCTTTGTAGCCCAGGCTGGCCTCGAACTCACAGAGATCCGCCTGCCTCTGCCTCCCGAGTGCTGGGATTAAAAGCTTGCGCCACCAACACTCGGCAAATCTTTCTTAAACTATACAACAACAGTAACAGGAAATAGAAGGAACACTCCCTAACACCTTTTATGAAGCCAGTATCTCTATAATACCCAAACCTCATAACACACAACAACAAAAGAAAACTAAAGACCAGTATCTCTGATGAACATAGGTTCAAAAACTGAAATCTTCCACAAAATACTTGCAAACAGAATACAGACAGAAATCCAAAATTTTAGACCATGTTGGTTTTATTCAAGAGAGACATGGATGTTTCAACATATACAAGCCAATAAATGTTGAACACCACATAAATGGACTGAATGACAAAAGTCATTTGGTCATTACAATGGATTCAGAACAAGCCTTTCATAAAATCCAACATGCCTTCATGATAAAAGTTCTAGAAAGGGTAGGACTAGAGGGGACATACCTAAGTATAATAAAAGCTACATATGAGAAACACAGAGCCACCATCACCACAAATGAAGAAAAAATTGGGTCAATCCCACTGAAGTCAGATAGGAGTGGGGTGCGTTCTCATTCAAGCCTTCTACAAAAGACAAAGTGCAAGTACGCATATACCAAACAAGGATTGCTTCTTTTAAATGTTTTTTTTCTTGCACACTTTCTAATGTAACAATGCCATCCTGAAAATGCACGAATTTTCTAAATTTTTTCTTTGTGTCTTATTTTGTCAAAATGTACAAAACATGGAGACAAAATTATATGTACAATTATATATATATATATACCTTAACATCACTGTAACAAATGTTCTCATTAATGTTTTTGTAATTACATTGTATAGATGAGGAGCCCAAAGCACAGAAAAATGAAGATTCAAATGAAGTCACTGAGGTTTGTCCAATATTTTTTTTATAAAAAGCTTTGAATGCTGTAGCCGCTCTAAACTCATTTCAATCATAGAATTAACTAATTAAACCTTTAATCTCTTATTTGTTATCAAATGTCACCAAGTATGCTTGAATATAAAAGTTGAATACTTTATTTTTTTAAATTTGTAGAAAATTTTATTTAAAATAGAATTATTTTACTTTCCCCTTACTTTCTCCAGATCCTCCCAGATCTCCTCCCTACAAAACACACACACACACACACACACACACACACACACACACACACACACACACACACACAGAGAGAGAGAGAGAGAGAGAGAGAGAGAGAGAAACTACAACCTGTTGAGTCTTTTTGTTGTTTGAAAGTATGTAGTTTCAGAACTGACTACTTTATATTTACTAACCAGTAAGACAGCCCATCCCTAAGAGAGACTTTTCCCAGCAGTCATTAATGGCCTGTAGTTCATTGTGTAAGTGTGGGACACTGAGATATTCCTGTTCCAGGTAAGCATGTCTATTAGTATTGCCAATGTTCTAATCTAGTTCATGCAGCTGTTTCTAGAAGACCGTTTTTACAGAAGTGTTCCTAATATTCTGCCTCTTACAATCTCACTGGACCCTGTTCCTCAATGGTCCTTGAGCCATAAATTCAGAAACTGTAGCATAGATTATCCCTTTGGTGTAGGCTCCCCACAATTGATCTATTAATCTCTGCATTGTGTCCCATTGTGGTTTTATTGATGGTTTCATTTGCTGTGAGGAAAGGATTCTTGGTGAGGACACACTTTATCTGTAAGTTTTAGAATAAGATTTAGAATGCCATTAGCAGTTAGGCTGGTCTAGCTAAGTGGTGGTGGCAGATCCTTTTTTTTCAGATTCCTGACCTGTATATTGGCTAGGTTTCTAGTATCATGCATGATTTCCCATCTGTTGGGCAAGCTTTAAGACCCATTAGGTAGCCACTCATTATCACCAAAATGTGAGTTCCATTTATTGAAGTCTAGCCTTCATAGTTCCAGAAAATACTATGGAAGATAGCAAGGAAGGGAAGCAATTAATAGTCCTATCCAGCTGCAATATCTATGACCCACAACTCTGTCCAGAATGACAAAATTTTAATCTATATGAGCATCTCATAGGATTGTGTTGTGGAATATTTGTTTGACTAGGCAAAGATATGTCACATTTGTTTATGCTGCATTTGTTGAACTATGCAAAGATGTGTTGCAATTGTGTTAATTAAATAAAATTAATGTGGGTTCAGAGAGGCTGAGTTAGCAACTAGTTGACAGGAAATAGCGAGGAGGAGCATAGATTGGGCTTTTTAGTTGGGACAGTGTGGAAGTAGAGAGGGTTCTGGAGATACCTGTAAGTGTCACAGCCCTTAAGAGAAATGTATTCTGGCAGTTGGAAGTCAAGGAATACCTACAAGTCTTACAGCTCTGAAGGGAAAGGTATCCTGGTAGTCAGAGGCCAAGGATTACCCACAGCTCACAAGGTAAAGGTATCCTAACAGAAGTGTTACAGCTCTGTTCTAGTGGGGGATGGTTTCCCCAGCAAAGTGTTAAGTCCTTGTTCCAGGAAAGGTTTCCCTAATGCAAGTGTAACAACTCTGCTCCCACAGGGGAGGATTTCCCCAATGAGATTGTTATACCTCTGCTCCATAGAAATGTTATAACTGGTCTCAGTTTCCCCATAATGTAACAAATCTGTGCCGGCAAGAGAAAGTTTCCCCAGCCAAAGTGTTACAGTTCTGCTTTGCAGAAGGTGTGCCAAAGGCCACCACTGGGCTAATGAATGCAGACCAACAAGGGACAAGCAAGGTAACCCTTTGTCATTGGGAAATGCAACTCCATCAGGCCCTGATATCAAATTTGGTTCAATCATTCTCTGTCAGCACTGGGGAAACCCCTTCTCAGAGCAATTAAAAGATTTACTGCTGGTTGTTAAAAAACATACTGCTCTGGATGACAGAACAGGGTCAGTAGATAAAAACAAGATTTTCAGGAGAAATCATAAAGCAAGTATTTTGTCAAACTTCTATAAACAATCGAAGACCAAAGCTAAAAATATGAATAAACAGCAAGGAAATTGAGGTTTGGTGACACAGGCACAGACACCAAAATCTTGTCGTCTGGGTTGGCCTCTTCAGGAGGTAAATGTCCAGCTTCTAGGGATTGGAACTTTATCTCAGGTAAAACAAAGTGCAAGATGGGTCAAGAATATAGGGCCAGAAGGACAAGTAGGGAAATTAAAACCATATGTGGTTAACATAGCAATGAATTTATGAGGATTGATTTGTTGCAGCAGTGAAAAACACGGATTAACATTCCGCCAACATCAGAAAAAGCTATAAAATAAGGAATGCTTCTGAGAGAAATATTAAAAGGTATTATCAAGGATGGTTACAGACCATTCAAGTTGTACATAAGCAGGGAAAAACAGTTACTGATCGTTCAAAGGTACCAACAGCCCTACCATTAATGTGGTTAACTGACAAACCTGTGTGAGTGGAACTTTGACATCAGAAAAGTTACAGGCACTAGAATAGCTGGTACAAAAACAGATGCTCAACATATTGAAGAATAAGCCAGTCCTTGAAATTCTTCTATATTTGTCATTAAAAAGAATTCTGGAAAATGGAGAATGTTAATAGATTTAAGAGCCATAATCAAGGTGATTCAGCCAATGGACCCTCTACAGCCTGGAATTCCCTCGCTTTCTTTATTACCTAAGGGATGGTCTATTATAGTGATTGATTTAAAAGCCTACTTTTTTACTATACCTTTACAAGAGCAGGATAGAGAAAAATTTCCTTTCACAGTGCCTTCTTATTGTAGTTGGAAGTTTTCCTGTGTCCAGCCTGGTTCCACAGCCGCTAGGACCCTATTAAACACACAGAGGCTTATATTAATTATAACTGTTTGGCCATTTGCTTAGGCTTATTACTGACTAGCTCTTACACTTAAATTAACCCATGGTTCTTATCTATGTTTAGCCACATTGCTTGGTACCTTTTCTCAGTTCTTTCTTGTTATCTTGCTTCCTCAGTGTCTGGCTTGTGACTCCTGACTCAGCCTTCCTCTTCCAAGAATTCTCCTTGTCTGCTCATTTCACCTACACTTCTTGCCTGGCTACTGGCCAAGAGCATTTTATTAAACCAGTGTACAAGGGCCTTATCCCACAGTGTCTTATAATAATTCCCAGCCTTTTAAAAGATACCACTGGAAGATTCTTCCACAATGAATATTAAACAACCCCATCTTATATCAATATTTTATGCAACAGCTATTAGAACTAATTCATAAACAGTTTCCTCAATCTATAATTTACCATTACATGGATAGTATCTTATCGGCTGATTCATACAAAGATAGTTTAGAAGAAATGTTTCATGAAGTAAAGAAAAATTTGGCTTTTTGGGGATTACAAATTATTCCCGAAACATTGTAAATGTCATATGCAGTAGATCTCAAAGAGGCTAAAGAATCACAGTTTATTAAGTTTATCTGGGGTGCACAAACTTAATTCCCAGTTACCTGCTTCAAATTCAAGTTTCAAATCACGAACAAGAAGCTAGATGAAGCCTATTTCTAGAATTAGTTAGGATGGCCATTAATATCAGGACAGAAAGTATATTTGTACTTTCTGTAGTTGAATTTTCTATAAACCTATCTTTTATCCTAATAATCAATAGAATCTCCTCATTGTGTTATTTTGTTTTTCATGACAGGAAGAAGCAAGAAAGCAGTCAGTTGGAAAAAGTAGCCAAGGGAGCCTTTGTAAGCAAACTAATAATGACAATCTCACTATGATAATTATAGGGATAACAGTAACAACAATGATAAATTTGCAGATGTGCATGAAAGTTATTTCATGCTCAAGCAGTATTAAAGGTGTGCATGACCCCAAACATCATTTCTTTTAACTACTTTTCTCTTGCCCATTTCCTACTGTAAAAATGCCTTCCTGAAAATGCTTTCATATATTTGTAAAATATTGTTTTAATATTATTGAAATAAAGAAATACCAAAATGTAAGGGAAAGATATATATGAAATGAATGTAAATGTATATTTTAAACTTCACTATGATAAATATTCTCATGAAATTTTCTGTGACTGCATTGTCTAGATAAGAAGTCCACATTACAGAAATTTGAAGATTCAAGTGATGACTCTGAGGTTTGTTCAATGTTTTTTTTTTTTTTGAAAAAATGCTTTGAATGATGTTCCAACAAGAATGTTGCTCTGACTTTACTCTATTGCGTATTCCAATGAGCAGAAGCAACATTTTCCCCAGGTTGAAACGTATATGTTTAAAAACACATATGTGCTAAAGCTGTTTCTGCTGCATTGTTCCGCTCTGGTAATTTGTAGCATCTAGTGAATGAAGCTGTTGCAGTTTAGTCGAGCCATCTTGGGCACAGGAACCCCAAAGAAACAACTTGACGCCTTGAAACTAAATTTACCTGAAAATTGAATAACTGCCAAGGTCATCTAGTGTTGCATATGAACAGAATGTTACATGTGAAGTGTAAAGTCCTAAGGATATTTAGAGAGAATCTTGCAACTTAGTGTTTTGCACCATGGAGCTTAAGAAATTGATGACAGGGCTCAAATTAATTAGTATGTTTGGATTGTCAAATGTAGACAGGCAAGGAAAAATTCACAAACAGAAAACATGAGTTATATGTGTGTATATACAGTTTTGGTTTTACATTATTTAACCAATGCAGAACAAAGAAGATTACCTTTTTGGGAGCAATGAGGATCACAAGCTTTATACAGAAATCTCATATTCTATGTGGCCATTGTGGGAAAGGTTTTATTGATGTCCTGGGTAACAGGAACTCCCAGATAGTCATCTCAGCACAACTGAAGCTTCAATACTCCATAATGTGTTGGCTTTCTCACTTGGCAGCTAGATTTTTTTTTTTTTACTTTCTTTAAATAACAGAGCCCTTACTGTATTGTACAAAAGGTTACAATGAGTACTTCTTGGCATGTATAGGTTTTTTTTTTTTTAGGTTTTTGTTTTGTTTTTCTTTCTTTTTTTCTTTTCTTTTCTTTCTTTTTTTTTTGTGGCAGTACTCTGTGCTGTGAAGTCTCTTAATGTTCCCTTCTGAAGTAGTTTTCTCATTGGAAGCATTTTAAATATTAACAATGCCCTAATGCACTAGCACTATTGAGACTTTTCAGAAAGGTGATTTTGTATGTGCCCTCTAATTTTTGGATTGGTCTAGTAAACTCAGTTCATTCCTTGTTGAAATAGTCACATCTGGTAATATTTTGCTGTTTGGTGTAATATGTCCTTCCATGGTCAGTTTTCATAGTCATTGCCCATATGAAGATAAATTTGATCTAATGGCATATATGAGATTCTGAGTAAAAATGTTTTTATTGGGGAGACACTGCAGCCACTGCCAGGACAAGCAGCATGTAAAGACTCTGGTAAGCCACCAGCCACGTGGCAAGGTATAGATTTATAGAAATGGGTTAATTTAAGATAAAAGAACAGTTAGCAAGAAGCCTGCCACGGCCATACAGTTT